GTGCCCCTCACTCCCGACCCACAGCCCCCCACTAGCCCAGCCGTCAGCTCCCCCGCAGCCCTGCCGGTGCCCCTCACTCCCGACCCACAGCCCCCCACTAGCTCAGCCCTGGATTCCCCCCCAGCCCTGCCAGTGCCCCTCACTCCCGACCCACAGCCCCCCACTAGCCCAGCCGTCAGCTCCCCCGCAGCCCTGCCGGTGCCCCTCACTCCCGACCCGCAGCCCGCTGCGTACCTGGAAGGAGAGCTTGGCGGGGCTGTGTGGGGCGATGGGGCTCAGGGTGCTCCAGAAGTGGATGGTGGGTGGCAGGGAGCTGGGGGTCAGCAGGACGGGGGTCTGCACAGGAGAGGGGGGCGGTGAGAGAGAGAGAGAGAGAGAGACCCCATCCCCTGTCCAACCCCAGCTCCCTCCCCACAACCCCTTCCGCCCAAGGACCCCTTCCCCACCTCCAATCCCCCAGCCCCTGCAGACCCCACCCCCACCACAAGCCCCGCCCCCACTCACAGATCCCTCCCCCCACGCCCAGGCCCCTTTTCCACCCTCAGATCCCTCCCCCCACACCAAGGCCACTCCCCCTAGGCCCCAGGCCCCTCCCCCACAGATCCCATGCCCCCCCGCCCCCGCCCCATAGCCACTCACTAGTGCGTGCGTAGAGATCACGGTGGTCGGCGTCAGCCCGCTGCCCGCTCCCCCGCCGGGCGCCAGCAGGGCGCCGCCGGCGGCGCTGATCTTCTCCTGCCCGGGCAGGGAGGGCAGCGCCAGGTCCTTGGGCTTCCGCCCCTTCGGGCCGTGCCCCTCGCTGGGGGCCCCCCCAGGCACCTCCTCCCCCTTCTCCTCCTGAGGCCCCTCCCCCGCCAGGAGCTCCGCCTCCGTCCCCCTGGGGGCCTCTTCGGCAGGCGGCGCTTCCTGCTTCACCCCCGAGTCGATCAGAACCAGGAGCGGGGACCCCTCCGTCTCCCCCTCCGCCTCCACTTTCACCACCACCGGCCGCAGCCCGGGGTCCCGCGGAGGCGTCGCCTCTGGGGGGGGGCACTCTGCATCCAGGGGCTCTGGCGCCACAAAGACCTGGGGGCAAGAGGGAGAAATGCAGCCAGTGCTGGGGCGGGGCAGCTGGGAAACAGCCGCACGTAACGCCGCACGGGGACTGCTCGCCCGGCGCTGAGATGCAGCCACCTCTGGGGTGGGGCGACAGGGCCACCTCACCTGCAGTGGTTCGCTATCGTCTGCTTCTTCGATGCTGATCTCCAGCTGGGGAATCTCCTCCATCTTCCCGGGGTCCAGGTCGGGGGGGTCCGGGGGCTCGCTGCAGAGGGCTGGGGGGTCCTGGCGGGGCGCTCGCCCTGGGGGGGCCGCCTGCAGCGACTGAATGGTGAAAGTGGAGTACAGACCCGAGCGCATGTACTCGTTACGGCTACTCCGGGGGACGCTCCCCCCACGCAGGGACTTGGGGGGCCCGGAGCTCCCCTCCCCCAGCCGGGACTCGGCCAGGGCTGGCTCCACCCGCCGGAGCATCCCTTCCTCCCGGGCCCCCTCCGCGCCGGCTGGCTCCGGGTACGAGACGAATTTATAGACGAACTTCTGCCCGTTGACCTTCCGGATGATGTTCTGGAAAGAGAGAGGATAGAGCGGGGGGTGTTGGAACCAGGACTCCTGGGTTCTCTCCCCAGCTCTGGGAGGGGAGTGG